TGGGAAATTGGCCTCGCTGCCAATGCCCTCTGCAAGGGTGGGAATGTTGAAGCCCTGTTGTTTGGCCCAAAAGTCAAGACAGCGCTGCAACCCAAACGATTTGATATTTGGTTTTGTGACAACTTCAGCGAATGGAAGCCAAAAAAACAGCCAAAATTTAGAGTCAGTTTCACAATTTGTCGGTTTCGGTGGGCAGGTTCGTTTCGGCCTAGGCTGCCAGGATTTGTCCTTCGCCCCTTTCGTGGCGGAATGCCCGCTGCCGGCAGAGCTGCAAACGCTGCTGGACCGCCTCGACAGTGTGGAGGCCTCGTCAGCGTGCTGCTCCATGACAAGTTCCCCCAGTAGGGTTCCCCTACTGAAACGGACTACAGAAAAAAGGGTACCCTGTATCTCTAACCTCTTTACTGGAGGACCTAGTGAATCCTTTCCCCAGGGCATCCCAGGGCTTAGTGGCACTCTTAAGACTCTTGTCCCTTTGTTTTGCTGGCTTCCCCAGCAAGGAGTCAAGCCCAAAACGGGCTTGCAGCCCAGGGCGAGCTCACCAGCTCGGGGCCAGGAGAGCCATTGGAAGGCTATGGGCCACTGGATGGTCCCTCCTAGCAAGAGGCACTAGGTTGCAACTATGGCTCTGAAAATGTGTTTAATATGGCTCAGTGCGATGTATTTTCTTTACTGGAAGATCACCGTACTTTAGGTTTGGGCTTCGTTTTAAGATGTTATAGAACCTTTGTTGGAATCCTTGGGGCTGGAGTCGTAGGCTCAGTTTCCTACAGGTAAACATGTTGATATGAATCCCAAACAACCATCATTTTTGGGATCGGCGTCTCCGAGCACCCTGTTCTTGGTTTCCGTCTTGATTTGCAGGGGCTCAGTTGCAGGGAAAACAATCTCTTCATTGGAAAGGCAAATGTCGTACTGGGCACTCAAAGGGCAGCAAGCAATGACACATGGGTTGATTTGTCTCTCAAGCATGTTTATGCAGGACAGCTGCGGCTGCAGTGGATATACTTGATGTAGATCACCCAGTGTAGTTGCTTCAACAAACATATTTGTTGCCAGCGGTGCTTTCCGTGGATACCTTCGAGTTCGCGTCGAAAGCGCAGTGGGCCGTTGAAGATTCTTCCATGGGGCATGTGCGCTGTGTGTTGTATGATGTCGTGCGTTTGTGATGCCAATCTTTCAGTTTCCAACTTGAACATGGCTTCAGTGTGAGCGCATGACGAACAAACAGCTCTTAGATCAAGAAGGTCCGCGTCATTCTTGATAATTTGGTTTGTGAAAGGAATCCAAGAGCGTTTTCGTAGACATTAGTTTATTTTCTTTGTTTTGGTTGGCCATTGTGGCCCCCCCCCCCCCATGCACTTGTCTACACCACATGGATCGGTAAGTTGGGAGAGCATACTGTTCCTTGTGGTGGCCAGGTCAGAGCAGATTTGTTAGCAATGAACGTACATGTTAGTATACTTTCTAAGCGGCGCAAGGAAGTCCGCAGTCCGAAAAGGGACCACAGTTTTGACAATGTCGATATGTCAGGACCCAGCCACGTACGATACTGGCGATGCGGAGGAAGAGGACCTCGGGCTCGGGCTGGCTCGGTGTCCTGGCAGTAGCGTGATTTTCCACCACGAGGTTTGTGGTCAGCCAATGTACACTTCCTCCATACAGAAGGCACTGTGGAAGGGTTCCTGGAAGATCGAGCCCTTTACTTGCAACAGCTTTCACTGGGCTGAGCAAGAGTCCCGTCAGGGTGCAAATTCGGCACTTCACCAGACGTGATTTCGCTGTGTATGCCGCTGCGGCCAGCTGCAATAATAATATTTTGTGGATATACCGTACTGCAGGTCTCGTTCGCAGGACAAGCATGGCCCTCGCAGGCGTGCAGCCTGCAGGATGTTCTCAAACAAGGTGCCGAGCAATGGGCGCAAACGCAGACCGCCGAAGCTGCAAAGGCGGCAGAAGCAGCGCATGCCGAAGCACTGTGTGTCTGAAGCGACACAGATACCAAGAGATGGCAAACAGCGGAAGGACGATATGGACAGCTTGATGAGCCGAGTTGTGAGAATTCTGAAGAGCCTCACGGCCAAGAACAGAAAGAAGATTGTGAGCCAGCGCCTTTCCCAGAGACAAAGGCTCGATTTGGAAGCTTTTATGACAAGAGCAGGGGAACCAGCGGAAAACACTTGCCATGGGTCTTTGGCGCTTTGCGGACGCCATCTCCAGCTCTGGTAGCGATCACACTCACCTGGCACTTTGCGATGAGCTGACAAGCGAGGACGAAGTTGCAGATCCACATCCTTCGCCTCGTACGCGCCGCAAAGACGGTGCAAGAGGATCGCTCGGTGTTGTGTGATGACCTGAGCAAAGAAGACAACACGGAGCCGCACCTTGGAACTGGCAAGCACACGCGTAAGCGAGCAAGCGTGACCCGCAGGATATCCAGTCTGTTGAGCAATGGAGGGCTCATGTATGCTGTTACTGTGTTTGTACACTGGTTTCGCTTTCAGATTCGTTACGTCAAGAGCTTGGAAGATGCAGTGGAGAAGCACGTGATGCTCACATCCATCGTGGAACGCATACGTAAGAATTCATCAGGGCCACTGAAAGATAGCGCGCAATCTGCAGATGGTGGGCATCCAGAAGAGCCGAAGACTTGGCTGGAAATGAACATACCTGCTTGCCACTGGATTGGGAGGGAGCTTCGCACGCCCAGCTTCCGCATAATAGATCTGGAGCTTCTGGATGAGCCTTTGTTGCGGCTTCGGGCTGCCCGTGGGATTTTCAAGCCTGGAAGGCTGTTTTTTCAAGGTTCCCTCATGCACCTGGAGCAAATGTGGCTGCAGATCAGGCAGGCGTACCTGGACTTGCTGGTTGCGCTTGGCAAGGACATAGCGCCAGCAGCAGCTCGACTTGACTGCTCTTCTCGAAGCACGAGCCCCACCGAGAGAAGATCTGGCGACGCTGGAATCTTCGCATGATGCGCCGTTCAGAGGAGGAGCAGACCCGGCGTGCGAAGGCCAAGCGGAAATAGGGGTGAGAAGCTTGTCAGCAACAGCTCCTTCAGTGACTGCACCCCATCCTACGATTGTGGGCCCGCAAGCTCAAGTCAAAGCAGGCGGCGGCTCAGCGCGATGCCTTGCGCGCCGTGCGCCCGAAGGCGTCAGGTAGTCGCACAAAGGCGGCAAGCAGCACAGCCAAGGAGCAAAACAGCAATCCGATTTCGGGCGGAGATGCAGCTTGTGTGCAGCTCGCTCGTGAATTTGACGGGATGGTGATCACGGGGGTATGATGCTGCATGTTGTGTTTGCTTGTTTGGGTGACACAAGCCGCCGTGTTCGATGCATTTCGGATCACGAGGCCGCTTTACTCATACCTTACACGTGGCGTACCTGCTTAGCGAAGGTGGGCATTACTTGCTTTTAGGAGATGCGGGGACGAGTGCCATTGGCTTGCTTGCTTACCAACCATCATTGCAACTGGGTGTTTTGTGTTGCACCCGGTCCGGCGCGAAATCCTGGCTCGGGGCTTGCCGGAAGGAATTCAGTTTTGTCAAGTGCCGGCCGTACTCAAGATGGATGCAGGTGTATAAGCCTTGAAGCTAGCAGGCTTCTGCGGTTGCTATAGGGGATGGCTTCCCTCAGTCAAAGAATCCAGGGGCTTGAGTCGTTCATTGGCATTGGCATGAAGGCGCAACCCTGACATCCAGCGTTCGTTGAAATCACATGCCCTCCCACCCATCTTGTCACACATTTTTTTCATTGGAGCTGATGTCTCCCACGTACCTCACCCGAAGCTCTCGAACCTCTTTTTTTACTTGGCGTGGCTTGCCCAAAAACCGGGCAATCGGGAAATGGAACCTACACGGCTTGAGTAAATCAGCCCATGGCGTGTGTCAGGAGCTGTGGATGCCGAGGAAAGTGCCGCAAAAAGGTGGCTGCGAAGCTTCTAAACCAGGAAGCTCCCTCCCAGCGCCCCCAGCCCGCCCGCAAAGGCCTCAAAGGCCTCACGCATCTGGCTCAGGAATCTCTTGTAAAAGGGCAACAATGAGATGATTCTACCATGTTCTCCGGGACCTGCGTTTCCCCGCCGACTACGACATGTGGGGTTATTGGCCTTAGTTATCCTTAATTGATGAAATCAACGTAGAGGGTTCCGGGATCATGTTGAAACCGGGGACTGGCCTGGGCGCTCATATCACGACGCGACTGTGACAGGGCCATGCAGCTGGTCGGTGATTCCACTGGATTTGATACGCGGGTGGGGGCCACTTTTGTCTGACCTGTTTAAGCAACACTTCCCCCTTTTTGTTGGTTTCCATGAAATGGATTTAGGTTATCGGTATCTACACCAATAGGCTTCAACATGCAGTTCCTTCACACTGGACTACTCACGAACTTTTAGCTTTTGGGGGCCCTGGTGTTGGACAGGCCTATTCTCATTTTCTGTGTGGGGCCTCCTGGGTCTTGAAAACGCATGGTTTGTCATCAATTGGTTGGACCTCGAATATTGGGGGGAAGTGATAAACGTACGGAAATGGGAAGGGTGGTGGAGGGCGGGCCTCATAAACGAGCTCTGCCAACTATACTATACCCTTCCCTTGCAGGTACCATGGAATAATAGTTGTTGGTTTGTCACAATGAGTGTTCTCCGAGTGATCCCATGATCAGGCATTCATTGGTCCTGCCCGCACGGCAAGCGCCAGATGCAGATTCAACGGGCCACGAGGTTCTCACTCCGGACTTTAAACTTTTGGGAAGACCATTTCATTGGAAAACAAACAGCTTTGTCTTTTTTGGCCTATCAACTCGGTCGGAAATTTGGGTTTGAAGTAGACCCTGGGGCCTTGGCGCTTGATCGCAGCCTTTCGGACTCATACCAAAACATAAGGAGGACAGACCCAGCAAAGAGGCATAATGTAGATGTTCGGAAAGGCCAGGTCAAAGTCATGCTAAACAGTCCAGGTACGTTTGCTCACACCAGGACGATTGTTTCCGCTGCTAGTCATGTCCAACCAACTGGGAACAAAGGTGGCTGACTTCGATCCAGACTCTGCAAAACAGACAGGTAGTCTACTTGTTTCGGGCGTGGAGGGACAACCCAAACATTTTTCAAAAGCCCAGGTTAAGATCCAAGTTTCCCATGTTACACGAGACCTTTGTTATTTTTTTGCCCGGACTCATTTGGTTGAGTGCTATGGCCTGGCGATGGCTGCATGTGGCAGCAGTTGGGGCGGCCTTGGCCCAGCCGGAAGTCACCCTGTACACTCGGCAAAAGGGCGGGCACCCAAGAAGGAAATTCCCTCAGCAAGGATTTGTTGGATTGCATGTTCATCTGCAGGGGAGGGTAGCTTTCGTCCACCTTGCTCTTGCGACCATTCGGACCCGGCCGTTGTGGTGCTTAGGGGAAGCACAAGGCGGCGTTTTTTCTTTGTTCAGAGCCCCTTTGAAGCCCAATCCGAAGCCAATGTGTTGGGCGTGCACTGAGTTCGTGCCTTGGGATGGTTCAGAGGCTAGGGTGGCCTCCAATTGAGGCTAGAAGGCAACCAGGAGTTCACATCCTCCACGAACAAACCCCAAACAACTTGGAGGAGGCCAAGTCCGAAGCGTACGAGTCGCAGTTGGTGATTGCCTAAGTTCACGTGGTTTGACGGCTCCAAGGTAGACTTGCACTGAGGCAACCTTGGGTTTGGCACCGTAATCGTCAGCCATTGGTTCACCCCCCATGTGTGAAATGGTCCTTGGGATCCCAAGTCTTATTTCCTAGTGAAAAATTGCACTCAGTCCAAAAGCGACCTTTGCACCTTTTTCGGTTTTACCATGTTGGTAACCCTTTTTAGTGAAGGTGAACCAACAGGACATAAAAGGACCTTGCATTTGCTGGCTCTTTTGGGAAACTGAGATGGATCTCCGAGGTATGTGCGATCACAGGGGTTGGCCCACCAGCAGAAGGCTTTGGAGGAGTTGATGGCGACAGTCGTCGCCGCCAATTGGCCACACACCGCGGTGGTACCAATGAACGAGGCAGAGGAGGAGGGGCGACCGGCCGGACCCGGTGGCTCCGGGCATTGGGTTTAAGAAAACGACACGTAGTTGAATCAACGGGAACACCCGCTTTTGTTGGAGTGGGCCTCCCTCTTTGAAGTCAAAACAAGGATGCAGTTGTTGCGCATGGCCAGAGGTCAGGAGGTTTGCTCCCTGGTAGTTTTGCTTGCGCTCAGGCCGAGTCAAGCTGCAAGCAGTGAAGCTCTATTCCGCCACCAATTCTGCTTCCCTTGCGAACCATCCCGAGTTCAGCCCATTGGTCCCATTGGGGGCCTTGCCGCCTGGATTTCCTAAGCATCGACCTATGAAAGACGAGGCCATGCCCTCAAAAGCTGGAAGCCACCCGCTTTTTGTGCCATTCTTTGTCTTTGGCACCCAGAGTCTGGCAAAGTTGGTCCACTTCCTCAAAGCCGACCTCACCTTCTCGTCAAAAGTAAGTTGAGAAGACCTAGGATCACCAGTTTTTTTCTTCGGTCCCCGGCTTTGTTTGGTGTTTTCTGACTTGAGAAGATGGATGGAGTTTCCTTGGTGAGGAGTTTCAGCACTATGGGCTTTGGAGCTACATCCCCTGGATTTGGCACTCCGAGAAGCAGCGCGGACACGCGCGGCGGAAAGCAGGCGCAGGGCAACGCTGGGCGGTTTTCCTGGAGGCCGGATGGGTGGGGTGGCTGCCCTTTCGCTGAATAGGCTGAAAGGCTACCTATACGTGTTTCACTCTAGTCTTAAGCTTGGTACGTGGGTGGTTTCTTGGATGGTTTCTTGGATGAAAGTACTCCAAAAAGGGGGGCTTGTTCACTTGGCTATTGAAAAAAAAACATGTACGGCGTCCCTAAGAGTATGGCATTCCTTTTGGGGTATGCCGGTTGGAACTTTTATTGAAAGGCTGGATATGAGGGTTCGTCCTAGGGTTGTCTAGGGTCAATTTGAGCTTCGGAGATGGGGGACTCATTGGATCCGACGGCTCACAGATTTCCCCAGCACGGGCATGTAGCGGCATATGTCCACCATAGCGTTGGATCAGTATTTGATGAGCAGAGGCCCGGCTCATTTGCACAAGGTATAAAACGGAACCCACCAAGTGGTTTTCCTGCAGGCCCCTTTTTCCAGTTTACGAATACCTGGAGCCTCGAAGACGCCCCAAGCAAGTGTCCCTATCCCCCCCCCCCAAAAAAAAAGAAGAAGAAGAAGAAGATGCTCACGCTTGCCCAATTGCTAAGGGTATCTGAAGTTTGCAGGTCTTATTTGGCATCTTTTTTAAACCCTCGAACATGTTTGGTGGACATACGCCCCGATGCAAATTTCAACTGGATGTCCACCAAGAGTTCCATTGGAACTTCTACCAGGTGCCGCTGAATGTGTGATCTGGATTGGTAGTTTCATTGGGCTTTGAACCTCAATTTGTTTGAAGCCAAAATCAAACATGGGGAAGGTCAAGCCACCGAACGTTTTTGTCCATCGGGGTTTTGTCTCACTCCCCTGAGTTCCTGCACTTTAGTCACTTTCTTGGGTCTGGACCAATGGCAAACACAACTTGTGGGCAGCCTTTTTCACTTTTTGGGCAGACCATTTTGGTGGAAACCAAACAAAAAAGGTTGATTGCACCCAACGTTGCGCGGGGTGCGCGCGGAGCCTCCGAGCCTGTGGGCTGTAGGCGGCCACCATGGTGGATCCGGAGGCTCTGAGAAACCTCTTGGCCAGCTATGACGCCAAGGAGGTTTGGCCCTTCAAACCAAATTGGCGGAAATGAGCTGTGGGAGGGGGACGAGCTGGCTGCAGGCCCATGGAATTTCAGGGCTGTCCAGGGGAGCTGGTTTCAGAGCTCCCAAAAAGAAACTAAAGGCGGATGGATAGATGATTTGTTCAATGATTTCCAGACACCACATTCAACCCCCAGGCTTCCCGTTTCCAAGTTGTTGAATTCATCTCGTAAATTCCCTCTCGCTTGGTGGGTTCAGGGCCCAAAAAGGTAATCAACTCCATACGGGGCTCTAAATATTGGTCTACCCGTGACCCACTCATGGCATTGACCCAACGGTTTCATTTTTTTCTATCGGGGTCACTGGGCAACTGTTTTTGGGGTTGTATTGTCACCCTTGGATGCGAGTTTCAAGTGAGTTGCTTTTTTCATGATATGTATAGTCATAATTGCCCAATGCGCTGATTGCACTCCGTGTGGTTTTGGCTCAAGAAAAGGGTGCGCTCCGCAGTGCACCCCAGAGCCGAGATATTGCATTTTGATGGTAGCGGGTGAGCCTCGACGGTCCATTTGGTTTGGAAAGCCGTACGAGGGGCCCAAGGGCGAGAACAAGGGCAAGAAGGGCAAGAGCAAGGGCAAGAAGGGCAGGGGCAAGAGCAACAAGGAGGCCCGCTCGCGGCAAAGGCAAAGCCGCAGAGCCGGTCGAGGAGACCGGGGCAGCGGAAGAGCTGCCGAAGGAGAGGCCGGAGCTAGTTGCCCCTCCGAGTGAAGGAGAAGAAGACACCCTGTCCGCTGAGCCTGCCGCTGAGTCAGAAGCAGACTGGGGAGGATCCCAGGCTGCATCTCCTCCCTCCTCAGAGCCAGAGGCTCTGCCAAGTGGCCACAGGGGCCCAGAACCGGCTCGAGGAAGCCGGGCAGAGGAGAAGGAGGAGGAGCTGGAACAATACACCAACGAGGACAAGAAGGAGGACCTCCACCCGCCGCAGAAGAAGCAGTTTGAGCCCGAGGCCACGGACTTCGACCTGGAGCAGAAGGGCCAGAGCGAGGACGAGAGCGTGTGGGGCGATTGGGGCAGCGAGGGCAGGATCCAGCCCGAGCCCAAGGTCGCTCACACGCCTAGGTCGTCAGGATCTCGGTGGTGGCAGAGTGCGACTGGCAAAGACAAGAGGAGAAGCCAAAACAGTCGGCACTTTAGGATCCTCAAAGGCCTCCTGAAGCTCGCGCAGAAGAAGCAGGAAGAGCCATCCGCGGAGCTCCAGGAGGAGATCGAGAACTTCGGGCAGGCGCCCTGGAAGAGGCGCCGGGTGCAGCCCAAGACACCACCGAAGTCCCCGCCTAAGTCCAGCCCTGCTCCGAAGACACCGCCGAAGGGATTCACAAAGGCCCAAGGAAAGGAGCCTTCACCGGGCGCTGAGCCCGAGCTGCTGGCACCGGTCGCCGAGGCAGCCAAAGCTCTCGGCCGACGGGTTACGGTGCACAGGAACATACAAGAGCTTGCGGTGGCAAGGACATCCCGCGGTGAAGGGACGAGCGAGCAGAACCTGGCCTCGAACTACTTGGATGGGCGGGTGTGGTTGCAAGTAGTTGCGGCACATACTAAGTAGTTGCACCACTTGTATGTGCAACTTAGAGCACTTGTTCTAAATGTGGTAAGTTGGACTTATCGCGCTTTGCTAAGTCGAACTTAGCTCCACTGCTATGTCAGACATAGCTCATGTGTCCACATGCGCTAAGCGTCTGCCGCCAATGCTTGGCATTGGCTTTTGACTTTCCTGTGCCCAAGCATCTGAGCCAAACAAGCATGTGAAAGGGAAGATGTAAACCCGCTCGAAAACGCGTCATGAGCAGAAGTTCGCGTTCCGTCGGTTAGTTGCTGTTCGGACAGGATCCCTGCAGTGTTGACTTTGCGAGCCTTTCCTGGAACAATCGCTGGAGAAAAACAGAACAAAAAACAGAAAACACAAACTAACACAAGCTCAAGTGATATCCTGTTAACAGTATGCACGCGGAGCTTTTTTTTAGTGCTCGCACCACCCCGAAGCCCTCGCTGAATCTCGTGGAACCCTCGTGAAGGATTTATGGTGGACCCGTGGTGGAACCCTCGTGCTGTTTCCGAGGTGTGACCGCCACACACACACACACACACACACACGTGCGCACGCACACACACACGGTTCGCGAAACTTGTTTCAAACGATAGTCTTGACATTGTTCAAAACTAAGCGGTAAATTGCCACCGCCGTTCTTTTTTCTTCTTTTTGTTTTTAAATCTAAGTGGGCTGGAGGGCTTAAGGTTGATTTGGCCACGCGCGGCTGGTTCCCAAATGTCATGTCTCACACTATAGGTATATGGGTTGTCATGAAATAGCTATATACAGGTTGGGCCCCTGAAAGGAAACCCCGTTGTAAATAGAACCAAAACCGACCCCCTCAACAAAATTCACCCCCCCCATATTTGTGTTCTGGGTTTTGGTCCTATATGGGGGCCGCAAAACCCCGTAGCAAACAGCACGCAGGCTATACCTGGCAACATTGAACAGCTGACCGCCACCGCACGCACCGCCACCACCACCAACACGAACCAACAGCAACTCCCCCACCACCGCCATGGCACCAACCAACATAAACACCACCAACAGCAACACCAACAGCAACACCAACAGCACCCTGCCCTGGCCACCCATGGCGCCCGTGCCCGCTGGCCAGCCGCGGCAGCCTGGCGGGCGAGCGCCCGCGGAAAAGGGGGTTCTGGGCGAAGACCGCATGCAATGTACACATATATGTCTATACATGCTTGTGTATGTCTATCGTACATGTATAGTCTTTATGTATACATATATGCTGTGTATGACACCGGCAACAAAGAGGTCGAGGATAGAAAATGAAGAAATCGGCTCTTTCTCTTTTTTGTTTGGGGTGAGTTTGGAGCATCAAATGTGGGCATGCCACACATCGTTTAGGGTCGGGTTTTGGAATGCCTTCGTAGTCTTACAGGGGTATTATTCAAACGCTTTTGTAACTACAACCAGGGTGACTGCCTCACCGGAAGGGCCAAAAGACTTCAGGGATCCCCTTCAAAAGTTGTATAGTTTACTGGTTGTTACGGACTGTGTCGCTCGCCAAGTAGATGTTCCCTTATAAAGATTTTGGGAATCAAGACCCCAGAGCAGAAGTAGCCCCAAAATTCAACATCCTAGCAACCCTTCAACCCCTATACTCTTGTCCAGCCCATAGAGGCGCTTTTTCACGGTACCACAAGTGCATCATTCCCACGTCTCCTGTGTGCGCAGACTTTCTGAACGCAGCTACCCTTTGCCATCCAGGGAGAAAGGCATGTGTAGCAAGAGCTTCCGCATTGCACGTGGATCCACACCTCTCCCACCATGTTTGCGCCCTCGACTGTTGAAAGCACCACATCCCCTCGTGCCACAGTTTCCTGCGCTCTGAAAAAAGCTTTCTCAGAAGCATAGATGTCCACCAATGCACCCGCATTCAAAAAGCTTCGCACATGGGCAGCCAAACTGTTGGACGCCTGTCTTGGGGCGATCAGGGCCACACTCCCTGGAGGAACGAATTCGTCTAGGTAGCGGAGCCCGGTCAATGTCACGGATTCCAAAAGCGATTTCTCAAAGCTGGGTGCGGAAGACGCATTGGCATGATGATTTCCAAAGCGCTTGACTTCTTTGTGCTTTCGTTCTAAAACGAACGTGCCCACTAGGTTCTTGTGAGCCTCAAGCATAGTTCCCAAGTGTAGGGCGTAGTGATGCTTGGGGATCACTGGCTCAGGCCCATAGGCAACCTGGAACAAGAAAAAATGGTGACGCGCTGCTTGATCTAAGTCTTGTCCAGTGGTGTTTCCACGCTTCATGTTTTGCAAGAGGTCGAGAACAACACAAAGTTGGTAATAGGAATCCAAGCATCGCTGTACAATAGTGTCAGCAGGCTGAACCACTAGCTCCATGAGCATGCACCTGATGACAGGATAGGCCCCAAGGCCTTCACTTCCGGAGCATTTCATCTCTCCACAAGAAGCCCCTTTGCGCTTTTCAAAGATCCCCCGGCTGTTGACAGAGGTATCGTGTCTTTTAGGCCACGTGAACTCTGCAAAATATTGGTGCGCCCTCTCGTTCGTCAAGATCCCTTGCTTTTCCAGAATTTCCATCAGCAGGCCCACCTCAAGCCCCCAGGTGCCTGACACCAAGAAGGTGTGAACCCAGTCAAACATGGTGCAGCTAATCGGGCCATTCAGGAGCTGGTTTGACACTGCGTTTTCATTGAAGAGGAAGCCCTCAGGGGAAAACACAAGACCAATACTCTTCTCTAGCCGCTCGAACGCCGCCTTGGTCAAGTTGGGCTTCGATTCTCGCAAGAGCCGGACTGACTGCATGATTGACACATCGTTCGCCAAAACGAACTTGTTGGTGTTCCATTCTGTGCCAGGAACTAATGTGCCTGAGGAGTCGTGGTTGTGCAAATTCGAAGCCGCAGAGCAAACGTTTTGGCAACAGATGCAAAACATCAGGCCTGAGGCCCCCTTGAAAGAGAGCATCTGTTTCAAGGCCATCTCATCGCCAGTAATGATTCCAATTTTTGCGTGTATCAGCTTTCGACCCTGCCCCTCTGCAAGTGGTAGGAGCAACCCATCAGCAAATGAGAACGGGTATTTGAAAAAGGACGATGCCACCACTCGAAGCACTTGTGCCGGTCCACCTGCAACCCTTTGTACGTGAGAGGTACGCAGTGTGAGGCAATTGAACCACATATGCTCGTTATGTAAGGCAGATCCTGCTTCCAATATCGACCAATAAAAACATACAAGTTTTCGCTTGTTGTTCACTTTCAGGGTGTTCCCTGGCACGACTTCATCGCAATAAACGATTAGCCGCAACGGAGCACTTGAAGAGCTTCCAGGCAGCCCTGAAATAAAGTTGGAAAAGGAAACGCTGCGGCTAGTGGCCAAGGACAACTGGGCTGCTGGGGAAATCATGGGGAAGCATTCCACAGATCCATCGTTCATGGTCAGCTCTGCCTTGGCCCAAAGGGGCCCCAGCGGGGTATCAGGTTGCAAAGCTTCTTCCCGCTTTCTTTTGATTGTTCGTCTTGAGCTAGACTCAGGAAGCCCGTGCTGCCGAACATGGTCCAAGATGGATGCCAAAGCAGATTGTGTCACATAAGTGCGCTGGTTCCCAAAGGTCAGAATCTCCCCAGCTTGATCTCGGGAGCTTCCACTCATGTCATGTTCGTGTCGGTGTGCGCGAGCACTTGCCCTGCGTGCACCATTGCGAGCGAGCGAGCTACATCCATGCGCAGCCCTGCTTCATTTTCAAGCGCGAGCTTTCATATATAGCCCTGCTGCCGCCCTAGAACAATGAAAGAAAAAGCAAACCTGAAGTCACGCCCCTCTCACGCCGGTCCCTTGCTTTTCGTTTCCCTGTCGCTTCCTGACAGTTAATGCCTTGAGCTGGTCGAGGTGCGTGCAAGCAACTTAGATTCAGTCAGCCACTCCTCTTGGCACATGTGTGCTTTGAAGTCTGGAGCATGCGAGCCACCGGTAGTTTCGCAACCGGCCACCATTCGGATCATTTTTTGACACACGCCGCATGGGTAAGCTCATTGCCATCAATATGACACCCCTGGTTGGCACTACATCGTGCTGACTGGGTTGTTCAAAATGTAGGGTTTCCTGATGTAACCCGTGATGCCGGGAAATGAACGGTTGATACTATAATTGGCACAAGGTCTGAAGATTGACTTTGACCAACCCAGAAAAATGCCCCAAGCCCCAAGCTGCCTCCATCGGGCAGCGTTCTTTGATGGAACGTGCGCTCCCAGCACTTTACGTCTATGGAACTGCATGTGGAGAAACCCCAAACGCGGGAATTAATGTGTCAAAATGTGGCCCAAAACCGATGCATGAGAGCCAAGAAACGCACGCCCCCTGCCGAGAAACTGATCTACAAGGTCCTGCCCCTAAAGCAGGAGGGTGTGCAGCCTGCAACGTACCTGCACTTGCCGCACCCGGTGGCGAATCGCTTCTTGCGAACGCAGGCCGGGATGAAACGGCCATCGACTGTGAGGTCAGTGATGGTCCTGTTCTTTTTGGTCTGCCTTCTGGGTGGCTGGGATGCCTTCGCATGTGTCTTTGCCACTGGCGCCGCCTTTGCTTGCCCCTTTGCCTTCGCCTTTGCCTTTCCTTTTGCTTTTGCCTTTGCTTTGCTCGCAGGCGCTGTCTTCTTGTCTGCTTTCTTGGCAGCCTCGCGCTCTTTCAGCGCTTGCGTCACCATGGCTGCCTGTTCAGCCGGGTCCATCGCTGGAAGGGCAGGAGGAAGGGAGAGCAGCGTCTTCTCCTGCGAGTCCGAATCAGAAGGGGCCGTGGTGGACTGAGGGGTGGGAGACGTGGATGTGCTGGCAAGCGACGTAGACGCCGGCAAAGTCGGCAAAGCAGCTTGGGAGGACGGAGGAGCTGGATTGTCTGCAGCCGTATTTGGAAGGGCCTTGGGAGCTTTGCTCTTGGGTGCAAAGATCTGGAGGGAGGGGATCTCCTCTGCCACACCACCCTGCATGGAAGCCATGAACTTAAGGAAGCAGGACATGAACTGCGCAGGATTGTTCTGGTTGGTGGCCAGCTCCTGGGAAGGATCCTGGCTCTTGATCAACTTGCTGGTGCGTCGAAGGGCCAACGGGGTGGCGCTGGAGGTCTCCTGAAGCCCTTGCCCTGCAGGTGGATCGTCCGCGTCATATGTGGCCAGCACAGACTCCGGCACGTGCGCAGGGAATTCTGGCAGAAGGTCGGTTGCAGGCAGGCTACGAAGCCGCAGCTTCAGCACCCTCTTAAGCTCCTGAAGAAGCTGCAGCTGTTTCTGTGGCGTGGTTGCCTCGACGCCCGCCTGCAAGCTGGCAGTCAGGACACCGCGCCACGCTCCTTCTTCGCTAGGTAGATGCAACCCCACACGAACCATGCGCGTGCTGACTTGCTCAATCTTGGCCATCAACGGAACGGTGGTCGATCCAAGAACCGCCAGGTCCCTGCAGGGGCACTTGACAGATCTGGGAACGGCAATCCCATTTGTGCAAGAGGTTTGCACGGATGGAACGCTGGTGGCATACCACACTAGAAGCTAACAAAGCACACTGAAGCGAGAATCCTATCACTCATCAGTTGTTTTTGCGTTGGTGGGATCGATGCTTGGTGTTGCCCACAACTAAAAGCGGCAATTCGACTCATCAAAGCTGATTTGCGTGAGGGGATTGATCTGGTGGAGAAACACACCCAAGAATGTGATTATCCAAAGCTACATGCGTTCTGGCCATGGGTGATTCGATTTGCATCAGGGGGTTGAGTTTGGTGGAGAAACACGTCCAAAACCAGAAAATAATGTGATTCTCTTCGATTCATAACTCATGAAAGCTGATTTGCATCAGGGGATTGACCCTGGTGGAGAAACACACCCAAAACCACAAAAGAATGTGATTGTCCACAACTAGCTGCGTTCTGGCCATGGATAATTCGACTCATCAAAGCTGCATCAGGGATCGGTGCTGGCAGAGAAAAGCACCAAAAACCGCAAACGAACGTGATTGTCGACAACTAAATGCTGTCTGGCCATGAGTAATTCGACTCTCGTCTCATCAAAGCTGATTTGTATCAAGGGAGAAGCACACCCAAACTCCACAAAAGAATGTTCACATTCTATTCATCAAGCTGATTTCTGTTCATGGGACCGTGTCTAGCAACTCTGAATTTCACGCATGGGATCCATGCTGGTGATAAAGTACTGTCAAAAGCAAGCTGGCAGTGAGAACAAGCTGATTGGCAGTGATGGGATCAATGCGGCTGAAGCTCAACCGATATAGCTAACACATTCTAGTGAGGCTGGACATCTTCATCAGGCTTGTGATACCATACACTTCAACCAGAAACATTCACATCGCTGTGAAACAAAGTCAAAACAATAGCTATCGATCTCCCGCAAAACCCTCAGTCCTCCGCGAGAAGTATGGGCCGAAGTTGAGGCATTGCTGCATCTGCCGTCGCGCCGGCTTGGCGTGCTGCAAACACCGGTCCAGGGAAGCCCCAAACTTCTCCATCTGATCGGCGGTCCATTGGGATGAGGCGCGCATGATGCTCAGGGCTTCTGCCGCCTCTGGTGGTGTGAGCCGCATGCGCTCCAGGCGCGACAAAAGCACGGCAAATTGCTGCTCTCGCAGACCGGCCGCCGATGCACCGCGGGCTGCCAAGTAGTCTTGAATCTCTCCAACTTCTTTGACAAAACCCGACATGGCCAAGGGCTGGAAACCTATAGATCCACAAACGCTTTCAGCAGTCGCAGCAATGTGAGCGAGCTTCAAGGGCCCTGCTCAAAGTGGCGAGCCAGTCAGGGCCCTGCCATGCTGCAAAAGTGCCATGTCTTCAACAGATGTCATGCCTGTGTGTCATTGCATTTGCACTCCTGCATGCTGGCAAATCAATGCGCAAGCAATTCTTCACACGCCCAAGCCACAGGCTACTCAAAAACTGCAGATGCTAGACAGTGACCGAGATTGTGATCACTGAAGCCCGTTACTAGCACCTGACCGCAAATCAGCCAGCTCAGATCAAGGCAGGGCTTTCAGCTCGCCTTGGGGCGGCAGGGCTTTCAGCTCGCCGCAGCAGCAGCGAGCAAGGTGAGCTTGCTCCAGGCGGCAGGGCTTTCAGCTCGCCGCACGCAAGGCGTGGCAGGGCTCGGTGAGCTCGCCCCTCAGCTGCTGGAGCTCGGAACTCGGCTTCGGTTTGCAGTGTCACTGTCGCTTGAATCGCGCTCGGTGGCCACCTTGACCTTCTTGCCCTTGGCATGCGACGTGGCTCCCGAGGGGCGCTTCCACGTCCTCTTGAGCGTTGTGGTCTTCCATACCTTTCGGCTGGGATGTGGCTCCTCTGGCGGGCTGCCCTCCAGCAGCACCGCCTTTTGCTGGGCGGTGATCGCACCATTGTCCATCAATTGCTTGGCAGCCAGCTTCCGGATCTGCCCAAAGGTGGGGGTCTCTGCCCGGTTCCAATGCACAGTCAGGCGTCGCTCGCCACTCATCAAAGCGGTCAAATGGATGTGTGGGCGAGTTACCGGATGCTCCACCCCCAACAGCACATTGCCTCTGACCGGGCGGAACAGAGCCTTCTTGAAGGAATCAAAGATGTGCCTGTAAAGGAACATGCCGTCGTTGTCATCCTCATAGACGTACTTAAAGGCAACCATCGTAGACCCCGTGCAGTTCAAAAAGACCGGCTCCTAGCAAACTTGCGAAGGGAAACATACAACAGAGAAAGACCCGCCCCCCCAACCAGAAAAACCAACATGGCGAGGCAAATGTCCCCGCCAGCACACCGTCCACCGCTTGTTCACCACATGGCAGCCCTTCCCCTCCGCGAAGGACCACCGCAAAGGAACAAAGCACTTCTCAAACTCCACCACCGGGGCCGCCATCGAACCGCAAAGCAACAGCCTACAACGTGCTCACACTCCAGCCAAACACACTCAAACCCAACCATCAACCATGTTCGCAGCACCTCTGCTCCATTGAATGCATCAGAACATGCATGTCTTAAACCCAGGGTTCATACGCACTACGCAGATCCTACATGTGCAACTCTGATCAGGTTGAAGGGCCCATCTGATTCTTTCCTGACTCACTGATCCACGCCGTCTTCTCCCCTGCCGTGCGCTTTCTTGCCCTGTCATCCCTAAACAAACGAAACATCACTTTGCGTGCCAAGAACTGTACCTGCTTTCATGGTTCATAGCCCCACCCTATCCTTCGTGGCGTCCCCCAGCTCGCAGAGCAGACGTTGACTATCAACCCTTTCTCTTTCCCCTTTCCTACACACCCACTACAGCATCCCCTAAGACCAGATGTTCTCTCATAAGACTGCCCTCCGTCGCACTCCCAATTGCTAGCAAGGTCCCACGCTAAAACAGCCATAGCCAAACAAGCCCATGAACCTCAGGCCCATTAGAAGACCCCCAGATGCAACCTACCTGCCTCCGCTCCCACGCCTCCAAAAACTGCACAAGCTGTTCTTTTTCTCCGCTGTGCGGCTCCGCTGTGCGGCTCCGTTGCTGGACTGCCGATGCAAACATGTCTGCTGACTACTATCCGTAACACATTCAAAGGTTCCCACTCGAATCCACCAATGCCAGCTACCAAACACAAAGTTTATAGATTTAGAAAATTTCAGTACTGGCGCATAGCAAAAGTTTATGGATTGAGAAACTTTGTGTACCTGCGTGTGCCAAAATTTTATGGATCTATAAACTTTATGCACAGTGAGTGAAAAAAGTTTCTAAATGGATAAACTTTTGGCATGGGTACCAAACAAAAGTTTCTAGATGGATAAACTTTGTGCTTTGGAGATGAACAGAGGGAATGTCCATAAACTCTTGGGTTCAGAAGAAACACAAACCATATGGGTTGGGGAAATGTTCTCAAGTGAGATGTTGTCCATTGCATCGTGTAGAATCACCTGCAGTCCAGCAACATGCGATTATGGATCAATAAAAAGGCGCGGAAACCGAACACAAAGTTCATGCATGAAGTGGTCAAACAAGTACCCATGAATCATCACATAGTCCCACCATGTTCGTTTCATTGATTAGGGATGTGGGCGGGCAGGGCGCCTGGCGGAGTTTACGGATCCATAGCCAACTGTGCTATGCTTAGATACAATGTCCTGACTGGACCCCTGTAGCAACACTGCAAAGTGGATCCATCTAGTTGCATCATGATGTGTAAGTGGGTCCACACGTGTCGCCTTCAGTGGTCCACTCCGGTAGCAAGGTCGGGTTTTTGGGGTTTCAATGGATCACAGATCCCTGCTAGGCGCCCTGACCTCAGGTTGTGTTCGGTTCAGAAAGGCAAAACGGCTGGGTGGCCTGCCTATGTGTTTCTCCAGAGCGTGCGAAACCGTGACTGCCAGGATCCATGGGCCGTAGGCTCGATCTGAATTGAAACTTCTATGTTCCTACTCCTGGCAGCGCAGTGGTCGGGACATGCGTGAAACAGCACGGAACCAAGGAGGCGCAAGCAGCACGTGAGTGCATCTTGATGCTGGCTGATGCTCTGATGCTAATGTGATACTGCAATGCTGGTGTGCTACCATGACTGCGATTGCCTCACTTGCGTCCCTGGTGGACTAAAGCCGACATTGTGTCAGCCATTTTCACTACTGCCGACGCCAGCTGGTTCGGCAAGGGCTGCTGTCTGGCGCCTCGCGAGCTGCGCGTCCTCGCCCGTGACCGGCCTCCGCCGGGCACGTGGAGGTGCCCCTGCTCGTCCATCCACCCGTTCTCCGTGTAGCGGCCGCGCTTGCGCTTGCCCTTGCCCTTGTCCCTGGAGCTGCCGTAGCCGTCGCTGTGATCTGGCCGTTCACCGTCCGAGGCCTTTCCTCCGCCGAGCATTCAAAACAAAGTTTCAAGCTGTTGGTATGTCCCAGCAAAATTAGTCACCAATGATCGGGAGATAGAAAAAGCAATTGACAGAAATTGAAAAAATGCTTTGAACGAACAACAGGTCCTTCGGTCTTCACTTTCGTCCCCCAATCCCAGGAGCGTGCCCAGGAACGACTCCGGGCCCAGGTGTCCTCGCCCCAGCGTCCCGAAGTCCAGGTGTTCTCCACGGCCTCGTGCGTTGTCTGCCAGTCCTGGCCCTTCTCCTCCACTTGCCGGTTCTCCATGCCGTACTGGTTCTCCCAGCCCTTGCCGTAGTGCCGGTCCTTGCCGCGCTGGTTGTCTTGGCCGTACTGGTTCTCCCAGTCCTCGCCCTCCTCCTTCACGTACTCCTGGCCGTACTGGTTGTCCCAGTCCTCGCCCTCCTCCTTCACGTAATCCTTGCCGTACTGGTTGTCCCACTCCTCCTTGCCGTACTGGTTGTCCCACTCCTCCTTGCCGTACTGGTTGTCCCAGTCCTCGCCCTCCTCCTTCACCCACTCTTTCTGGTTCTCCCAGTCCTTGCCGTGTGGGATCTCCTCGTTCTCCCAGTCCTTGCCACGCTGGATCTCCGAGTGCGTGCCGTGCTGGTTCTCCCAGGCCTTGCCGTGCTGGATCTCCGCGTGCTTGCCGTGCTGGTTTTCCCAGTCCTGGTCCTTGCCGTACTGGATCTCCGCGTGCGTGCCGTGCTGGCTCTCCCAGTCCATGTCCCTGCCGCGCTGGATCTCCGCGTGAGTGCCGTGCTGGTTCTCCCAGTCCTTCCCGTGCTGGATCTCCGCGCGCGTGCCGTGCTGGTTCTCCCAGTCCTTGCCCTTGCCGTGCTGGATCTCCGCGTGCGTGCCGGGCTGGTTCTCCCGATCCTTGCCCTTGCCGTGCTGGATCTCCGCGTCCTTGCCGTGCTGGTTCTCGCAGTCCTTGCTGCCGTGCTGGATCTCCGCGTGCGTGCCGGGCTGGCTCTCCCGATCCTTGCCCTTGCCGTGCTGGATCTCCGCGTGCTGGTTCTCCCAGTCCTTGCTGCCGTGCTGGATTTCCGCGTCCTTGCCAACGCGCTGGTCCAAACACAGCGTCCCGCCCGCGCCCTGCTGGTTCTCCTTCTCCTGCGTGGCTGCAGCTCCTGCGAGGGTAGTGGATGTCTTGCCAGCCACTTTGCGCATAGTACGATGGCTTGGCTCCTTGTCTCTGTGTGTTCGTTTGCTGGTTTGCTTGTTTGTGCGCAGGTATGTATGTATGTATGTATGAATGACTGACTGACTGACTGACTGAATGAATGAATGAATGAATGAATGAATGAATGAATGAATGAATGAATGAATGAATGAATGAATGAATGAATGAATGATGCATGCATGCATGCATGCATGCATGCATGCATGCATGCATGCATGCATGAATGAATGAATGAATGAATGAATGAATGAATGAACGAAGGAATGAATGAATGAATGAATGAATGAATGAATGAATGAATGAATGAATGAATGAATGAATGAATGAGTGTGTGTGTGCGCCATGTAATGGACATGTGATTTGTATGCTTGCATGTATGTATCAGGGACTGATGCAGTGTAATGTTGTGTGTGTATCTGCGTCTGTGTGTCGTTCTCTCTCTCTCTCTCGAAGTATGTATGTATGAATGTATGAATGTATGAATGTATGAATGTATGAATGTATGCATCTATGTATCTATGTATGTATGTATGTATGTATGTGTGTGTGTATGTGTGTGTATGTATGTATGTATGTATGTATGTATGCATGTATGCAAAACATGCAAAACAAAGAAGCCGTTCAGGCAACAGGCGAAAAACGCAACAAAAACGATAACGGCTCCTCCACTTCCTGAAGGCGCTGCCTCCAGCCACGCGCACTCCTGCACGCCCAGCTCCACCTCCACCACCGCCGTGCCCTTGCCGCGGGCTCGCCTCAGCGCCGCCTTTGCGTCCTCGTAGTCCTGCTCCTCAGGCTTTGCCATGGCGGCGCGCAGTCCACTACAGTAACCCCGAAATGCCAGCGGCGCACGCCATGCATAACTTCTCAACTATACATTCCAATGATGCATGTAGCAAGGTTCTTCAACGAAGCAAGTCCCTTGATAAGACATCTTGACCTCAACAAAAGACATGTCTGCAAAACAAAAAAAACAATCCTGACACCCAACCAACCGCCATGTGCTTGCCTGCTGCCTCTCCCTGACCTGTTGCCTATACCTGTCGCCTGTCGCATGCTCTCTCACTGAATCTGCCAAAACCCACATTGTGGCCAACCTGCGCTCACCCCCACGCGTTGCCAGATCCATCTTAATTGAATGAAACGTGGTCAAGTCCCGCGCTGCGACTGGTGACTCTATGATTGGAAGTCTGGATGAGGCTAGTCATGCATGTAAAGAAAAGAAACATGATGCACCAAAGTCACAGGTCGAGCTACTTTGTTGCAGGCACTCTTGCCTGATGCCGCTTTACCTGCCCCGCGTCACGGCTCTCCAACACTCCAATTCTCAGATGTTCAAGGACTTGTTCGTCGAGCTCCAGGAATATTTCCTGTTGGTTCCGCACTGTCCACAGCGCACGGACATTGGTTTCGGTGAAGGAGACGCCTCCATGCGTGACAGCAGGCAGCGTCACGGTGACAGTGGCCGGCGCCAAGTGGCGGTCAGCTGGGGTGACTCGCCTTTTCTTGTTGGGCGGCTTGGAGTTCTCCTCACCCTCCATGACCACCGCCATTGCGTCCTGCACGGCAGCCTTGGACTTGCTGTTCCGTTGGGCGATCAGTTCATCCAAAAAGGTGCAGTTCACGTGGTGGCCCTTCCCTGCCCTCAAGTCTTGAGAGCGGCCGGTCACCATCTTGCAAAAGCAGGTGTCCCACTTGTTGATTGCCACGAATGCCACACCCTCCACGGTCTGCGTGCGAGGCAGCCATGGAGATTTCTCGGTGAACTCGTTGGTTACAGAGTAGATCTGTTTCACTGACACGCGAGAAACCATCGCCGCGGGCGAGCCACGGGCCCTGCCACAAGCGGTATGGGGCGAGCTTGGAGCCCTGCGCCAGATCCGGCAGTCTTGCCAGCTTGACCCACAAATTGCTAAACGCAAGATGGCTCATGCCAGCGGAAAATAGAACAAATGTGACAGGCTTGTTGGGAAAACGAAACTGCAATGCAATGGTGAGGCCAAACCCCACGCGTGACTCGCAGACCACAGTTTTGCAACGCAATCACAAGGGTCTTTGCCAATACTCAGGGTTGGCACAAACACATCGATGGTGATTCTTCTGGAGATCCTACAAAAACCATCGATGCACTCTTACTGCGGGTCGTGCAAAAGCACTGACTCAGAGATCGTCGTTCTGCTTGCCCACCTTGCGCTTTTTTGGAGGAGCTTCTGGCAAGATCTCCGCGAGCTCCACCAGCTTCGCGGACTTGGGACGCAAGACCATGAGAGCCGTGCCCGGCACGATGCTGACCGTATTCTTCATGAGTGGAATGTTGACCTGGCCCTGCGAAATGGCCAGCTCTTCGCCGTCGAGGTCTGGGGAAATGGCCATGTTTGCAGCCTCTGCGTCGTTCGTCACCTGAACGAACCAGAAGCTGTCCAACAGTCCCTGCTTGGAATCCTTTGGGACCGATGTGACTGGCGCAAGGGACCACATGAGCTTCTCACCGTCAAGTCGCTTCCTGAGCGCCGAACAATGGCCAAACGAAAATGGAAAGGTCGAGTTGCCCATTTGTATTTGGGTGGGAATGATGGAGTTGGAAGGAACACTTTCATAAAACAAACGCTGCGGAACTCGTCCCATCAAAACTCATCCTAAGGTGTGAACATACATAGTGACGCTAAGGCTCACCCACCCTAGTGGGATGTTGGCTGCGCTGTGACCACGAGACTCTTCTTTCACTTCCACCCTAGTGGTGGCTGGCACCAACACCAGCTGCCCCTTTGGGAAGTGACGGTTGGAGATAATGGCCTTGCTGGGCTTCAATACCATCTTGAGGCTTTCTGGAACTTCCTTGTGGTCCCTGCTCAGGCGTTCAAGCTCCAGCATCACCTTCCCCCGCAAAACGGCGGCCTGAAAGTCCGGGTGATTGAGGCATGCGTGCTCCCAGTGGTTGGCAAGCTCCTGGGGCTGGGCCTTGGGTGTATGCTTGACCCATTCCCCTGCAGCAAAGGACTTTAACGAAACCCTTGCAGAGCCATGGATGAGGCCGTCGTTGATTGAGATGAGGATGGATCCATCCGGCTTAGCTCCTGTGATGACGGCAACAACCTTGTCTGCTTTGCGGCAGGCCCAATCCCCCACTTTGAAACCATATTCCAGCAAAAGCTCGTCCGGATGGGCAGGCTTGCCCGACGCATCGTAGTGCCTCATCCTGGGTGTGTCGCGCAGTGGTGTCAAACAGCTCCCTATATAGAAAAACCCGCAGGAAAAATTGACAAGGTGACAAATTTTGAACGAAATGATATCTTACAGCAGTCCAGTAGCGCAAGTCCGGAGTTCTGTCCGCTGGAGCTGGCAGCCGTAGAGACCACGCCGGTCTCCCTGTGAGACTCCCATTTCTTGGTTAGCACAACGCCATGCTCCTTGGCGATCAAGTCAATGGTCTCTTGCGCACAAGCCTCCACAGTGGCAGGCCTCTGCATGCCCTTGAACCGCTTGTCAAGCGTCACGGCCACAGCAGCCATCTCAAACTTGAAGACTTCCTGCATGATGGCATCTTTGTTGGCAGCTGTGGATGCCAGCGCTCGCATCTCTTGCATGATGCCTTCCACGTGAAGGACTGGCTGCAGCATGTTGGCACTGCACATGCGTTTGCAGTCAGCTGGAACAATGAACTTCTCAGGGGACAGGTACGCAAGCCTCAGAAGCGCGTGCCTGAAGCGGAGGCCATCCTCCCCCTTCTTGAGGTTTGCCCCGATGGCGTCCCAAAACTCTGGGCCGAGCGATCTTTCGGTGGAGGAGCCAAACTGCTTGATCACGGACTCCGTCTCGACCATTGCCGAGCCCGATGGGCCACCACCCCATCTCATCAGGAACCCGTACATGTGTGGCAAACACGGGGCGCATGGCGGTTTGCTCCGGAGAACCCTGTCTCGGATTTCCGCGAAGGCCACCGGCTCCTTCCTACCAGCCGACGCTTCCCGCCACGTGTTCAAAATGCGGCGGGCCAGCTGGAGCTCGTGCTCGCGCCGCTGGAGTTGCCCGCCAGCGTTCAGTGCCTCTTGGACAAGGCTGGCCAACTTAGGCACCGCTTGCATGACGTCTGCACAAATCACTCTCCACTGCAGGCCACTCTGCGAGGCCTCGTACAGCTGCGCGTCGTGTTGGCGCACCCTCTCCAGGTTGAGGCGCCCGTTCAGACAGAGCGAGTCAGACTCGTGGGCCATCTCAGCGAGGATCAACCGCAGGGCCATGTTGGTGTGGCTGCAACTCAGCGAGGCCAGTTTGATGGTGTGTGGCTCGACTGTCGGCAGGAGGCCGCCCGAGCCGAGCTGCTGCGCTACGTTGAACTCCAGCACGGAGTCGTGCGCGGGGCCTGACCCCGGCACCTCGCACGCCATGGCGTCTACTTGCGCCCAATTCCACCCGCAGGCGGAGATATCACGCAGCAGAGAGTGACAATCCATAGCGTTCAGGCCGTAGCCGTCGCGATTTGCGGGATGGCAATGCACGAATCTAGGGCTCACTCGCTGACGCCACATCAGCTGCTTGTCCTCGAGGTAAGTGAACAAGGCCCCCATCGTCTGAACCATGCGGCCCTCACTGGCCTGCTCCACCATGGAGGAAATGGCCTCGAGCGCGTCGGCAGTCAACGCCATGATGCCTTGCAGAAGCCTAGAAACTGCGAGCAAAATGCCCTGCAAATGCACGGCGAGCACGTTTGCGTGCCCTGCCGTGGTTTGACGAGCAACAATGCCCTGTCTGACGCAGTTCATATATGACTGCGAAACGATTTATGAGTGTGCACCGCTGCAAGGTGGCATGCCATGCATCAGTCTACAGCTGCAAATGTCTCAGCCGCAGCCTTCCAGTTTCACCGACAGCTCGCGTTTCACAAGCGTGGGGTTTCACCTTTGGCTCAAACAGACTCAAGCTGCGAAAACGATCCAATTTTCTCCAGCGATTTCAGCCGTTGGTGCCAGTTTGGCCAAGCATCTATATGTACGTTGCCTGACCAAAAAAAGCATCCAGCAAGTGGCAAACTCACGCAGAGGTAGGTGCCCAAGTCCAGGCACGCTGCGTGCGGTCTGCTTGTTGAACAAGATGTCATCCCAGAAGAAAATCCATGTTCGTTTTTTTGGGGGGGAGGGAGGGAGAAACAGCTAAGGCAAGGAAGGAGGCTAAAAAGCTGCGGGCAACAACACAACAGTTTGTTTGCAGGCCAAGATGATGTTTTCCCAAAACAATGCTTTCAAGGAAAGCGGAACACAACAACTTGGTCATCACTTCCCTGATTTTGGGCCACAATTGCTCGAGAGGGTATGTAGCCCCCAAAATGAACGGAAAAAACAATAACTGTTTTGCATCTCTGCCAGACATGTTCATTTTACAAACATGACTCGTTGGCTTTGAGTTTTGAGATTGGTGTGGAAATGTTTTAATGACCAATTCCTGTCAACGAAAAGCCCGGACTCTTTGCTTGGGAAAGCCAAATGATGGCCAACTAAGCCAAACATAATACTGTAATCTAAGCCCAGAAACTATATACACCAATTCTACACCCCCTATGAAGTTGCTTGGACACTTCGCCCGCCCGTCGCCGCCGCCCAAGCTGGCCTGCGTGCCACCGCAGCTGGCCAGCAGCTGCGACTGCCAAATCCTGTATGTTATTAGCGTATGGAAACATATATATTTACGGGTTAAGGGGTTGGTTTCCCACGGGGCCGATGCTAAATTTCAAAAAAAGAACACCCGCTCTTGCCCTTTTTTGGTTTGGGAGGGGGAGACTTGGTCCGAACGCGTTTACGAAATGTTTTCTCCCCGGAACAACCCCGGCAAGAGAAAACTAAAAGGCAACACTTCGCTAATCGTTGATGCTGTGCGTTGGTAAACATGAGCTTCGGGTCCTTATATAAGAAGGGAATCGGACATGTTAATCAAGTTGTTGCGCAAAACCTTCTTTCCCATGTTTCCTCGGCATGCATGCTTCGTTTTCCAAAAACATTCCACGCCACAACACTGCGTAAAACAAAAAACCTGTGTTTTGGCAGGCGCGCGCACACACACAAAACTTTTTTTTGTCACAAACGAACAGACGGAAAACACTCGATATATCAACTTAGCCAACTTGAGGTATCTTGGCTAAGTTAAACTTGGCCTTTATGCAACTGCCCCTCCTTGCACTTAGACCAGTTACACAAGTAGCACTTACATTATGTTTTTTTCTCGCAAGTACTTGGGTCAATTGCTATGTATACGCATGTAGGCCCGCTCAACATACTAAGTTGCGCGCGCAACATGGCTCACATGCCTGACTTGTAACCTTGCTATGATATATCTTAGCTAGCTTGTAAGTATGTGTTGGTGCGATTGCTATGTGGCCCAAGCGTGGTATCTACTTGCAACCACACCCGCCCATCCAAGTACCGCCTCAGGAAGGCGGCATCGGCAGAAGCTGCATACCGAGCCGGAGCAACGGGCTCGGTGGCCAAAGCCATCCAGCAGAGTGTGCTGCAACTGGACGGGTTAGGGAACCCGTGTTCCTCGTGCGACGAGAGGACTCGCCTTCAGAGGCCATCATTGTTGGCCAGGGCCGCAGCAATTGCAAAAGGGGCGACAAGGAGGCGCGCACCGGTAGGAACGACCTCAAAGTCAGTACCGGAAGCTATCGCGAAGCCTCAGGTGAAGCCACCTCCTGCAAAAGCGGCTATAGAGGCGAAGGTACCACCTCCATCGCCAAGACCGAAGTGGGTGCTCAAGGAGAAGGCCCACATCGAGAAGCCCAAGAGCGAGCCGAAGGTTTCGCTGGCTCGGCCGAAGCGGCCGCCACCTCCGCCACCGATTCCGTCGCCGACTACACCCCTGAGCGAGACCGAGGGCAGTGTTCACCTTCACGATCAACCGGCGCCGGAGCCGAAAAGCGGATCGAGCTCGGGGTCGTACTATAGTACAGAAGAGTCCGGGAAGGCGGACTGACCTCCCGGTGCCTGGCACCGGATATAAGGCATGGAGGAAACAGTGCGAGAGTTGCAGCAGGCAGTTGAGCGGTTGTCACAGGAGAATCAACTTCTTAGGCAAGGCCAGGCAGGTATAGCTGCTTTGGCAGAGAACCTTGGTAGGTTAGCTACAAGCCTGCAGAAAGGCGATAGGAAGTTGTTGATAGACACCAAAGGGATTGGAAAACCGGAAGTCTTCTCCAATGATGACGGCCACTTCCGTAGATGGGCCCGGTCTGTGGTGAACCTCACAACGGCAATCTTTGGATCCAGTTTCCAGTCAATCCTTGAATGGGTAGTTGATCAGGATGAGGAGATCACTGTTGAAAAGGTAGAAGAGGAACATGGAGGTGAACTGGGAATGGCCGGACTGGATGATAAGGGAGACCAGCTGTATAGGTTGTTGTCATCCCTTACTACTCATGAGTCCGAAGATCTGGTCATCAATGCCAAGAACGGGTATGAGGCATGGCGAAGGCTTAACAGGAGATGGGACCCCCTCACCGCAGGTAGGAAGAGGAACATCCTAAGGGCCATCCTCAACCCCGAAAGAGTTAAGTCTTGGGAAGCAGTTCGACCGGCCATGGAACAACTAGATGATTTGATGCGCCGATATGAGGCCAGAAGGAACGAAAGGGGCGAGAGGGAAATCCTCTCTCAGGACATAAAGTGTACGTCCCTAGAACTTCTGGTTCCAACCGACATTGAGCGCCACCTCATTCTGAACAAGAACCGGCTGGGAACCTACGAGGAAATGAAGCAGGAGATTGAGGTTCTGATTGAAACAGTCACGGGAGCAAAAGGGACGGTCCATCGACCGGGGTCCAGTGGGGCTTCGAGATCGGGGCAAGGCCCCGCTCCGATGGACGTGGACGCCATCACGAAGGTGCTCAACTCGCTGGTCAAAGGCTCGAAAGGTTCGAAAGGAGGCAAAGGTAAGGGAAAGGACAAAGGTGGAGGCAAAGGCAAGGGAAAAGGTAAGGACAGCAAAGGAAAAGGTAAAGGCAGTGGTTCAGGCAGCTCAGGACCCGCAGGAGCATGCTTCAACTGTGGTAAGCCCGGCCATAGAGCGGCCGAGTGTTGGAGCAAGAAGAAGGATGGAAAAGGTTCCAAAGGCTCAGGGAAGTCTGGCTCCAAGCAGAAGCATGTGGCAGGATTCGAGGACGCCGACTACGAAGCTGGAGACCAAGAAGAACAACCGGAGGCCGAAGTGGGAATGTTTGAGCTGGGTGCATTCACCCAGGGAGAGTCCCCGAAAGACCCAAACTGGGTTCGGTTCAACCTTGATACGGGGGCTGCCCAAACTGCTATTCCAGTGGATTGGAAAGACCGCACCCCCACTAAGGAAGGAGCCCAGATGATGTTCAAGACAGCATCGGGGGAACTGGTCCCTGGGACCGGAACCGGGACGTTTCAAGGTAAGAGTGAAACAGGTTCCAGGTGTAAAGTCACAGGGCCATTAGCACCGGTACACAAACCGTTGGTTTCAGCTTACAAATGCCTCAACCATGGAAGGATGGCTGTTCTTGATCAAAATGGTGGACAGTTGATTCCAGCAGACTCAGCGACAGGAAGGAAAATTCAGCAGTTGCTCAACAAGCCCAGTAAAGCCCAAAAGAAGACTTGGTTGCCCATATACCAAGAGAAAGGAGTTTACAACTTCTATTTGAAGTCGGAAGATTGTTCGGGTTTTGGACGGCAGTCCAGCGAGGCGTAAGTCCGGCCAAACCACTTGCAGCGGCAGATGATGCCGTGGGTGCCGGACAAGGGAACCCAGAGGCACCAGCGGGCCGACCCGCAGGTGTGCCCGAGGGTGATGAGATGGATGAGAGCGGCGAGATCGCGCCGCCCGCACTGGTGAGAGCACCAGGAGGCCCATCGAGGGCCGAGGTTGCGGAGCATGAGGCAACAGGTCACGTGCAGTATCGCAACTGGTGTCGGCATTGTCTTGCCGGCAGAGGATTGGGTCAGCAGCATCGCTCACGACCCGAAGAGGACAAGGCGAGCGATGAGCTCGCGACAATCTCGTGCGACTACACATGGATGACGCGAGATGGAAAGGAGGATGGGAAGACTAAGCCTATCCTGGTGATCCGAGACAGTCGGACACTGGCCGTTGCGGCCACCTTCGTGGACGCAAAAGGACCGACGCCATATGCGGTCAAATTCATGGCGAACTTTATAAAGCATCTTGGTTACCGTCGTGCAGTCTTCAAGAGTGATGGTGAGCATTCGATCGTTGCCCTGAAGGAGCAGGCGGCCAAGGAAGCAGGAGTGGAGAATGTTCCACAGGAGTCGCCGGTGGCTGACCACCGGGCGAATGGCGCAATCGAGAACTTGTGCCGAGAACTCAAAAGGCAGGTGAGAGTCCTGCGATCCTCACTGGAGGAGAAGTTGGGTCGAGTCTTGAAGGATGACGACCCTGTGCTGTCTTGGTTTCCAAGGCATGCAGCAGACCTGATGTGCAGGTACAAGAGAGGTTCCGACGGGAAGACACCGGAACAAAGGAGGTGTGGCCGAGCCGTGAGGTAGGAGAAGGAGCTAGGCCACTCAAGGAAGGCAGGTACATAGGTCACCACGGAAGGACTGGCACTTTGCTGGTTGTGACCTCAGAAGGAGTGAAGAGAGGCACTGGTGTTCGTCGACTTCCAGAAGAAGATCAA